CATGGTGATAAATAAAAGTTTTCAAAAATTCTTTCTTATTTTTGCTTTAAAGTTTTAATTTTATCATTGACAACAAATATTCCCAGTTGTTTCTGCTGAATAGGCTCACTACATTCATTCTTAAGAAAATACCTGCCAAACGTCCAAGAGTGAACAACCACAATTCATCAGCCACTTGTTCTTTTGAGATGGTCCATGAAAAAAGGGGCTTTGTAATTCAAATTTTGAAACAAACTATTTCACAAGTGTTTTTCATTAAGACAACTACTAAACTTTGGTATCCAGCAGAAGTACTCCATGTGTACTTTCCATTTAATCACACAGATATATATTTTTAAACAGCCATATATTCAAGGGTTGAGATTTAATAACATTTACAACTTCATCAAGGACATTCTTAAGTGAAACCAATGTTTTGGATTTTCTTTTTTAAACCTATTAGTATAATATGGTGGCATGACTTTGATTTGTGCTAAGGTATAAGTAGTTTTACCTGTTGTAACAGTGAAAAAGACAAATAATGTCTTAGTATTATGAAAATGGTGAATTTTGCAGGGTCACTATTTGACCTTGTATGAACCACATTTGAAGAACCACTGGTCTATTCATTATCCTTTTCCAGTCACCTGTCCTGCTCCTGTTTGCCATAATCATCTCTGTGACTTTGCATGTTATTCTTTTTGCCTACAATGTCTTTTATAACCAGCTGGCAAAGTCTTATTTGTCTTTTAAGACCTGGTTTGTATTTCATTTTTGAGATGTCTCCTTTAAGCTGATTTTTGTGCTTCTGTACCACTCCGCATAAACATTGTTTTAGCATTTATCATACTGAGAGCAGAGGGGCTACTATCATTTTAAAATACCCAATACGTACAAGACTCTGTGCTAATTCTTTTGCATATTTTCTCATTATATCCTCTAATTCTATATGATAGGTATCATTATAGCCACTGTACACAGAAGGACCAGACAGACAGCCGAAGCTAACATAAAACCCAATTATTTCAGCAGTGTGAAAATTTCCCCATTTGTCCCTATTGACACTGTTAAATACTCAATTTATGTTGCCTGAACGGTCAAATAAATGAACTTAGTGACAATTTAATCCCATAATAAAAGGCTCTTCAAAGTCACTCATGTTTCAGAGCCTACATCCTGGCCTTCAGTATTTTTCATTCCTTATTCCTTATGTACAGTTTGGATTTGGAATCATTTACTCATAGAAAAACTTGTATATTCATTTCATACAGCAGTGTATTTCCAGGTACAGCATGGTGACTTAATGATTACACTGCTGGCAAACCAGAAACATAAATGTTGACATTTGAAAGGAATGTTTTTCCTCTCGAAGTTGCTTCAGAAAAATAACAGCAGTGTCTCCAAGTAAATGAGGTGATTATTGTAAAACAAATGGTGTATAGTTTTCAATATGTGTATTCATGTTTTAAACTTTTTGAAAAGCTAAAACAAGTATTTAATACCTCTTTTCTACTTAGTCTTGGACGTTATGAAATGTGAAAATTCCCGTGTGCCTCTAAGAAAAGCGTAATACCTCAAAATTGCTTTAGTTAGATACAGCACGTATCTTTAGAATGGTGGTAAGAGATAAGAGTGGTTCCATAGGTGTGGCCCCAGGACCAGCAGCATCAGCATCACCTGAGATTGCTAGAAACACAAATTATTAGGACCCACCTCAGACCTACTGAATCAGACACTACGGGGGTGGGGGCCAGCAATCTGTGTTTCACAGCCCTCCAGTTATTGTTGTAATGTATGGTTAAACCTGAGAACCCATGAGAAAAACTAATCACATCATCTGGATTCATGAATGTTACCTATAAAGAACTGATACATTTTAGAAGATATGACTGGCCCATGTATTACCAAATCTGTGAAAATATAAGCTGTATAGTAAGAAGTCTATCACGCCAAGGGCCTGGGCCATCCTCATGCCTACATATCAGTGGCATGAAGCTAAAGTAGAGAGTTTCATCCTATAGAAGAGAGGCCAAATAATTCCTTGGCTCTGCCTTCCAGGATGTTGGTAAATATCCCATAGCCATTCTAATCTGCAAGAACTATCTGACATTCCCTCACAAGTAACTGCAACCATGTGCTGTCTAAATTGTTTCTTTCCTAAGAAAAACACTAACTTGTAATACATGCATTTTATTACTACTGGACTACAACACTCTATCATCCACTTTCAACTACCAATGACACACTATTATAAATGTACTACCAGGAGTACATTTATAATCACTATTCTATTGCTTTGGTATTACATGGAATTAAGGAAAACAGGAACTTGCTAGCATTTCGACAACAATTTGTAGGTATGTAAAAAGCCTATTTTAGTAAAGAATATATATAAAATTTCCTAGCATTTTGTTAGAAAAAGTGAAGGCATTAAGTGATTACTTCATTTTTATTTATACTTTTCTAAAAAAAAAAAAAA